AAGATGAGAGTAGAGAGAATTAAAGTAGAGAATAGAAGAACAATAGAGAATATCTACACAACCAAAAGTTGGCTTTTTTAAGATATTAACAAAATTGATAAAACTTTAGCTACATTGACGAGGAAAAAAAGAGAGAAAACTCAAATTACCAAAATTAGAAATAAAAGTGGAGACATGATGATAAGAAATAAATAAATAGTATGCTCCAAAGGAGTACTATGAACAATTGTATGCCAACAAACTGGATAACCTAAAAGAAATGGACAAATTCCTAGAAACACAAGGCCTACCCAGACTGAATCCTAAAGAAATAGAAAATCTGAATAGATCTATAAGTGCTAAAGATAGGAAATCAAAAACCTCCCAACCAAAAAAGCCCTGAACTTGACAGCTTCACTGGTAAATTCCACTAGACAAAGAGCTAACATCAATCCTTCTCAAACTTTCCCCAAAAACTGAAGAGGAGGGAGCACTTTCTAACTCATACATTTCCCTGATACCAAGCAATACAAAGACACTACAGGAAAACTACAGGCCAATATCCTTTATTGAACACTGATGCAAAAATCCCTGATCAAATACCAGTAAACCAAATTCAGCAGCATATCGAAAGGATTATACACCACATCCAAGTGGGATTGATTCCTGGAATGCAAGAATAGTTCAACATATAAAAATCAGACAATGTAATACATTACATCAATAGAATAAAGAAAAAACACATAATCATCTCATTTAATTCAGAAAAAACATTTAACACCGTTTCACGAAAAAACACTCGACCAACTAGAAACAGAAAGAAATTACTTCAACATCATAAAAGCCATATATAAAAAACCCACAGCAAACATCATACTCAATCGTGGAAGACTGAAAGGTTTTTGATCGGAAACAAGGCAAAGATATCCCCCTTCCTCTACTTCCATACAACATGGTACTGGAAATTCTAGCCAGAGAAATTAGGGAAGAAAAAGAAATAAAAGATATCCAAATTGGAAAGGAAAAAGTGAAGTTATCTCTGTTCATGAGTGTTATTATAGGTAGAAAACACAAAAGGTTCCACACATTTTAAAAAAAAACAACCTGTTAAAACTAATAAGTGAATTCAGTAAAGTAGCAGGGTACAAAACCAATGCAGAAAAATGAGGTGCATTTCTATACACTAACAATGAAAAATCTGAAAAAGAAATAATAAAAGCAATTCCATGTACATAACGTCCTTTTTGATGTTATATTATTCTTTTTAATAAGCTACTTTGGAATCAACATAACGAAGGAGGTGAAAAACTTGTACAATGAAACTATAAAACACGACTGAAAGTAAAGAAGACATAATTAAATGGAAAGACATATTCATGGGTTGGACAACTTAACATTACTAAGCTTTCAAATACAACCCAACTACAGATCCCTACATTGTATTACATCTGCAGTTGGGTTGTACTTGAAAGCCCATTGACATTTTTGTGCAGAGATATAAAAATTCATCCTAAAACTCATGTGGCTAAATAGCCAAAAAAAAAAAAAATATAGAAAAAGAAGAAAAAAGTTGGAGGTCTCACACTTAACAAATTCCAAAGTCACTACTAAGCTACAGAAATCAAAACAGTGTGAAACTGGCATAAAGACAGACACCAATAGAATAAAATAGTGCCCAGAAATAAACTCTTGCATATATGTGCAAACGATGCCAAAACCAGCCAACAGAGAAAGACAGTCTTTTGAATAAATGGTGTTGAGAAAACTAGATACCTACATGCAAAACAATGAAGTTGGACCAAAACAATGAAGTTGGATCAAAAACCTAAATATAAGAGCTAAAACTATGAAACTCTTGGAGGAAACAAAGGGCAATGATTCTTTGGATATGACTCTACACTAAAGGCAGAGTCAAAAAAAAAGACAAATAGGACCTCTTGAAAATTTAAAACTTTCTGTATTAAAGGACACTATGAAGAAGGTAAAAAGACCATCACAGAATGGGAGAAATATCTGGTAACGGATTATTATCCAGAATATATGGAGAACTTCTAAAACTCAACAACATAACCCAATTCAAAAACAGGGAAAGGACTTGCATAGAAATCTCTCCAGAGAAGATACACAAATGAGCAATAAGCACATGAAACAATGCTCAACATCACAAATCATTAGGGAACAGCATATAAAAACCATAATGAGATACCACCTCACACCCATTAGGATGTCTACCATCAAGAAACAAACAAAAATTCACAAGTGTTGGTGAGGATGTGGAGAAACTGGGAGCCTTGTATGCTATTAGTAGGAATGTAAATAGTATAGCTGCTGTGTAAAACAGTATGGCAGGTCCTTAAAAAACTAAAAATAGAATTACTATATCATCCAGTTATTCTACTTCTGGGTATGTACCTAAAAGCATTTCAAGTAGGGTTTTTTAAGAGATATTTGTTTACCATGTTCAGAGCAGTATTATTCTTAATAACCAAATGGTAGAAGCAACCCAAGTGCTCATTGGCAGATGAACAGATAAACAAAATGTGGTACATACAATGGAATACTATTAGTCTTAAAAAAAAAGAAAATTCTGACACATGACACAACATTGATGAACCTTGAGAACATTGTTAAGAGTGGAATAAACTAATAAAAAAGATAAATGTTTATGATTCTACTTACATAAAGGAAATTCAGAAAACCTGAAATTTATTTTTGAGTTGTGTATTTGTGCTCACACGTTTAAACATCAGTCATCTTTATCAAAGTACTCTCCGTTTGATGCAATGCACCTATCAAGATGTTTTCCACTGTTCAAAATAGTTTTGAGCTCTCAGTTTTGATGCCTTTTAGTGCCTCTGCCATGTTTTGTTTCACTTCTTCCATGTGGGCAAAACATTTCCCTTTCAGGACATTTTTCGTCCGGGGAAACCAGAAAGTCGCTCGGGGCAAGACGAGGTGAATAGGGAGGGGTGGAGCACAGGAGTCAGGCCATTTGGGGCCCAAAACTGCACACACAGCATGGTGTGGGCAGGTGCATTATCGTAGTGGAAGAACCAGTCACCTGTGTGCCACACCTTGGGATGCTTCTTACACCTATCATGATGCACACTTCTCAAAACTTCCAGATAAAGACTTTGGTTGGCCGTTTGATCCAGAGGAGCAAATTCTGAGTGTACTACAAGGGGCTGGTCCTCCAAAAGATAATTCTGTTTTGGGGGTGGGGTTTCCCCTTTGGATGAGGTATCTAGAGTAGTCAAGTTCATGCAGACAGAAAGTAGAATGATGGTTGCCGGGATCTGGAGGAAGGGAGAATGTCCAGTAGGTACAGAGTTTCAGTTTTGCAAAATGAAAAGAGTTCTGGAGATAAATGGTGGTGACAGTTGCACAACAATACAAATATAATTAATACCACTGAACTGTATGCTTTAAAATGGTTAAGATGATAAATTTTATGTTATGTGTACTTGATAAGAATTTAACAAGTTTTTAAATAAACCATACAACTGTGGTACATTTATTCAATAGAACACTACTCAGCAGTGAAAGGAACGAACTGTATATACACCCAACATGGGTGATTCTCAAGATAATTATGCGCCTGAAAGAAACCAGATCAAAAAAAGAGTATAAATACTTTATAATTCCAACTGTATTAATGCTACAAAAGGCAAACAAATCTATAGTGAAGAAAAAGTAAATCAATGATTTCCTGGGGAAGACAAGGAGAGATGGTAAGGGAGCATGAGGTAGCTTAGCAGGTAATGGACATGTTCATTATCATGATTGTGATGTTGGTTCCCTGAGTGTATACATATTTCAAAACATATCAAAGACATACAATTATTGCATGACAATTATATAGCAACAAAGCCTTAACATAAAGTGCTGCACATGAAAATCTGACCTCCCACTCATTTTAGGAAATCAGATTTGGCAACCCTATATTGACTCTGCCATCTCTCTCTTCTTGCCTTGGTAGCAAACCATGCCTGACGCTACATTCTTGGAGTATAGGATCTACTTTCTTTCAGACCATATTTTCCTACCAGCACAGCACCAGCCTTGAGACGCAAAGTGCAGACAGCTTGCAGCAATCCACAAAACCTTTACATAATCTGGTTCTTCCAGTAACCTTAGTCATGGGACAGAGGTCTGGAGGTCCTAAACATTTCTGCAAACCCTGAATCCTGCACAGCCACATTCAAGGAAACATCTGTGAATGCACTTTTAGAATAGGTCCGTGCCTGCTGGTTGCTGTAGATGCACCTTCTCCTTATGAATCACCCCAAGTGCTTCTGAACAAGTTATTGTCCAACCTGTGCCCAGTGGGTCTTACAGTTAGAGACACCTGTCTAGTACTTCAAGGTGTATGGCTCCTTGGCAGGTGCCAGTTAAATAGCAGCTGCTTAACAATGTTAGGGACTATGAGAACCAATTCATGACTCTCCCAGTTGTCTCAAGTGACATCTTGAGGTTGTCTCAACTGACTCCTCCCTGGGGTAACACAAAATTTCATGCTCTTCAGACCACAGCATTTGACCCACAAAACCCTACAGTCTTTCCTAGGAGGCCTTGGGTAAAAATGCAAATGAGGCCAAGTTGTTCTCTACCATCTTGCTGTCCCCTCTGAGACAACTGAAGATCCCTGTAGTTAAGTAGACTTTAATTTTGTTCTCAATTCCCCCCAAACAATGATCAGAACATGGAAGATTAAAGGTGACTTTATCATAAAGTCCTTAATATCACTTGAACCAAGCAATGCATAGGAAGTACGTTGTTGGGGTGGCTAATATGGAGGCTGGACAAACCCATCACAAGCACAACAGGAGACCAACAATGTCCCAGAAACAAAGGAAGCCTTCTTTGCAAGCTGCCAGCAAAATACCACTCAGGTCTTCAAGGCCAAAGACAGGTCATGTCCGCAGCTAAATCAGCCATAGTAAAAGGAAATAACATGCTCCCATGGCCCAAAACGACTGCCAATTCCCTTCAGCAATTGAAGAGAAGAGACACCTGCCTTCCCTGATCACAGCAGAGGACCAACACATACTCTGGAGATCTGCCAGTGGGTAGTGCTGAGATGCTTATGTCACAAACCCTAGCAGTGACAAAACTCTGATAAAATCCATGGTCAGAAAATGCAACTTAGCTCCAGAAAGCTTCCAACATATCTAGCATTCACAGGGACTCTCCCATGTGGATATTTGGATGGACAAGATTCAACTTCTGCCTGACAGCTCCTTCATAAAGTCTGCTCTCAGAGGTTATCTCTGGTGTGTGCCGTTGTATTGAACTTGAAGGAAGCACAATCTCTACACTCCTTTCCCTAGTGTGAATTTTCTGATGCCGAATGAGGGTAGGTCTTTGGCTGAAGGCTTTCCCACAGTCATTACACTTATAAGGCCTATCTGGTTTGTGAACTTTCTGGTGCTGCCTCAGATTGGACCTCTGTCTGAAGGTTTTTCCACATTCACTGCATTCGTAAGGCCGCTCACCAGTGTGAAGCCTTCGATGGTTATTGAGGCTGGAGCTTTGGTTAAAGAACTTCCCACATTCACTGCACTGATAAGGCCGTTCACCAGTGTGAAGTCTCCGATGGCTATTGAGGCTGGAGCTTTGGCTAAACAATTTCCCACATTCGCTGCACTCATAAGGCCGCTCACCGGTGTGAACTCTCTGATGTTTCATAAGGTCGGAGCTTCGGCTGAAAGTTTTCCCACAGTCACTGCACCCATAGGGCCGTTCACCAGTATGAACTATCTGATGTTGAATGAGACTGGCGATGTGGCTAAAGAATTTCCCACATTCACTGCACTTATAAGGTCTTTCGCCAGTGTGAACTCTCCAGTGTTTAATTAGGCTGGAGTTGCAGTTGAAGGATTTCCCGCATTCATTGCACTCATGAGCACTTCTACCAGTGTGAACCCTCTTATGATGAATGAGGTTGGAGCGCTGGCTAAAGAATTTCCCACAGTCGCTGCACTCATATGGCTTTTCGCCAGTGTGAACCCTCTTATGTTGAATGAGGTTGGAGCTTCGGCTAAAGAATTTCCCACAGTCACTGCACACATGAGGGCTTTCACCCGTGTGAACTCTATGATGTTTAACAAGACTGGAGTGTTGGCTAAAGAATTTCCCACATTCACAGCACTCATAAGGTTTTCCTTTATTGTGAACTCTCTGGTGCTGAGTGAGGCCAGCAGCATAGCTAAAGAATATCCCACATTTGCTGCACTCATAAGGCCTTTCTCCAGTGTTAATTCTCTGGTGCCGAACAAGTGTGGATTTGTCACTGAGAGCATCCCCAAATTCACTGCACTTGTTATGCTTTTGTGCAGTGTGACAATCCACCACACCTTCGGGGCTCTTGTTTGGCTCCCCCACTCTGGGAATGATGTCATGCTGCAGAAAGCCTGATGTGGCCACAAGGTCCTTCCCACCTTCTTTGCATGTGGAAACCTTCTCTGATGTGTGATCTTGGCAGGTCTGCACAGATGAGACCCTGCCTTCCTTCCTGCGGATAGATTTGTCGACATTCTGCTGTACTCGTTGCTGGGGAAGGTTTGCGTTGAACTCGGCCCCTTTTCCATATGCCTCACACGCACATGCTTCTTGCCTGGGATGTGCTGTCTGGTGTTCAGTCAGGTGTAATATGTCTTCCAAGTGTAGATCACACATGTCACAGGAGCAGGTCTTCTGGGTGGAGACAGCTACGTTGGAATTCCTGTCCTGTGACACGTCTACGGAAACACCATGCTCGGAAAGTAACTCCTTACCCTGTGTTCCATGGCAAAAATCTGAAAGCAGAGAAGTGCTGGTGAAGAAAACATAAAATTTGCTAGAAGGAAACACCCCCCTCACATATGCCTGTCTGACCCAGAAATGAGTCATGGGGTTGCTGGCAAGATGAGAAGCTTTAGGTCAGGGTAAGGAAAGGTCTGCTCTGCAACAGTGTGCCTAGCCAGGTCAGAAAATAGAGGAGGCCTTATCAGGACCAATGACACAAGGATGAGATGCAGTGTGGAGTGGACAGGCAGGATCTCCAACTCACTTCTCTATAAAGGCCTGTTAGCAGGGCCCAGGCTGTTGGTAACCTGCGAGGGCTATGTAGCCAGCAGGTCTAGGCCCAGGAAAATCTGACTGCAACTGAGTAGCTTGTGTTCAAGGACTTCAAGGAAATGTACACATCTCACAACACATTAAGTATGGGCCAGCACTGTAGAGGAAGCTGGGGAAAGAGTGAGACATGGAGGTGAGAAAAGCAGGCCATGGCCAAGAGCCCAAAGCTAGAGTAGCGATGATAAGTGGACAATGGCTCAAGGGTGGGGAAGGGAAGGTAGAGATGAGGTCTGGCCATTGGCCCTGGCACCAAACGATGATGAACATAAGAAAAGACACTGACATGGTTTGAACCCAGTGGTGATGTCATATTCCCTCCCCTGCCCTCCGCGCCTACTTACCAGAGCCAGGCCTGCTATAAGCCCCTCTTGCCATGGCTAAAGTCATATCCACACTGTCAGGCACCCAAGGCTCTTTCCCCATCTCCAGCTGGGCAATGATATGGGACCTGAAAGATCTAAGTCCTACGGGAAAAACAGGGCATGTCAGTGGCCAGCACCTGCACAGGTGAACGACTCCACGGTGAGCCACAGGAAAAAAGCTCAACATTATTAAGGGAACATCCCAGGGGTTACAGCAAGTAGTAACCACACCAGTGCTTGGCACTCCTGGCACAGTCAGCCTCGGGACATGTTAGCGAAAGAAAAGGAGCAGAACCTGACAGAGATCTGGACAATCACCCAGGCAGGGAGTAGCTGAGTCAGATGGGCTTTAATAGGCTGACTGCAAGCCTCCTCATGCCTGGACCTTCCCCGCAAGCCTTCAGGCAATAGGTGAGAGACCAGCTCAGCCCTAGAACCCACAACACATATACCAGGAAAGTGACGAATGCAGCAGTGCCCATGGTATGGCTGCAGGAAGGAAAGAACTGCCTCTCAGACAAAGGGGACAGGCAGAGACAAGCTCAGGGTATCAGGATGGGTATGACAGCCTTACCCAGAGAGGCTATAAGTGCAAAGTTCTCCAGCATCACATCGTAGTACAGGAGTCTCTGAGCCTCATCAAGGAGTCCCCACTCCTCCTGGGAGAAGTAAATGGTCACGTCCTCAAAGGTCACACAGCCCTGCCATGATGGGGACAGTTTATTCCACGATCGGCCTCTCTCCTCAGGCCCCTTGTGCATTCCCCACGCATCCTCTCCCCAGGTCCCCAGCTCTGAGGAGGTACCAGGCCCTGGTTCCATCAGTGACCACTGTGCCAGCACACAACAGCAACAGGCTGGGGACCAAGAAGCACTCGCTAAGCTTGGGCCTGAAGCACAGGACTCAACCCCCTCTCCTGTTGTCCACCTCCCCTAGTGTCACCAATGTCACGCTTCTTACACACAAACAAATGTAGGCTCAGTCTTCACCCTTAATCCCCAGTTCGCAGCACTGGGGTCAACAGTTCACACTCACTCCCATATGCATTTCACTCTGGACTGCACCTGCCCACCACTCTGGACCTCACAATGACATCCCCATCGTCACTGCTACTCTCTCCCCATCCCCATCCATATCACAGCCATCTCCACAGACTCCCACGTGTCACTCTGTATATGGCATATGGCATCCAGAGAATGCTTGCCAAATACAACAACGATCCAGTCCTCCTCCAGACCTTTGAAAGCTCCCACGGCCACGGGCACCATCCACCCCTGCTTTGGAGGCCCCTTCACCGAGCTCTATTCCTGGCTTCAGCCTAAGCCACCCAGAGCACACAACAATGTGAGCTACCCTCGGTCCTCTTCAGTGTTGCACAATTCTGAACCTTTCATCATCATCACTCATTCAAAACACAGCCAAACCTTCTGGCCCTCCTACCCCACCCACTCAGGGCCAGCAGATCTTCCACTGGCCTTGTTTGTCCCAGAGCTAAATCCCCAAACTGACTGAAAATCGCCAGGTCCCATCAAGGGTCACTATAGAAGCCCAGTGAGAACACAGATGGGTGAGTAAGCACCAGCCCAGACCTCCACTACTACTAAGCCTCAGCATCCATCTTATATCTATGTCCCCTGGGATGATTTGGCCACCTGCCAGACCATGTGATTCCCACACTCAGCCCCATTACCACATGACCACTATCTTTCATCTGTCTTTATGAGGCCAAACAAAGAAACCATGGCCCAAACCAAGATGGCCTACTCTCAGTTCTCCAGCCCCACTTTCCTCTTTTTCTAACATCATTGTCACCATGACCTGAAGGCTCACCTCCAAACTCTGATGCCCAACTACACTCTTGTTCGTACACCAGATGCCACATTTTGGTTGCTTCTAACTGTGGAAATAAAGACCAACCAAATGAGAAAAATCAAGGCTATTTTTTCAGAGCTTGCTATAGCAAGGACGGCTCAAAGGCAGGCAGAGGAGTGGGAAAGCTTTATAGTGAAAGAAAGGGAAGGCTTCAGGTGTACCCTGATTGGAGGCTGTTGGCACAGGGAAGCTGTTAGTAGGTGGGCTAATCAGAAGCGGGCATTCTATGTGATTGCTTAGGTGTGCATATTTGGCTTTCTCTGGTTAGTTCTAAGTTGGAATCAAGAGCAAAAATTAGGGAAGCTGTCAGTTAGTAATCAAGCCCTGGCAATTTGGGGCCGGTCATTACAGAAGTTATTGTTTTAATTTCCTGGATTGTCACTACAGATAGCAATCTGGCTTCCTGCAAGTCTGACATACAACAGGCTGGTTTCCTGGGTTGTTTATTGTAGATAAGAGGGTTGGCTTCCTGGGCAGGATGCTGTAGCTTGTGGGTCAGAGTTCTATTTTTATATATGATCTGGCCATTGTCTGCTTGTATATTCAGTCCCTCATAACCTTAACAACTCCCCCAGAACACCACAACTGGGTGTCTAGCTGCCCACTCTTCAATTCCATTTGGGGGGTCTCTGGAACATTACAGACTCAACATGGCCAAAACCTAACTTCTACTATTTCCATGGAATATTCCTCCTACAACCAACTTCTTTTTCTCTGTTGATGGCCCATCCATCTGTCCATCTACTCCAGCCCCAAACAATGAAATCAACCCTCTCCTTTCTCCCCATCCACAGCAGAAAAATTTTGGTCAGCCCAACTTAAAAAATCCAGAACCCAATCACTTCTTCTGATTCTAGCCCCCAGTCTGGGGCAGCCACCAGTACCAGGGGCCTGGACTATTACTGCAGGCTGGCCCTGGGCCCCCCTGCTTGCACCCTTACCCATTTTCGGCTCTCCACTCTGCATCTTCAGGAAGCACGTGTGAACAAGAGTGTAGTTGTGCATCAGATTTTGGAGGTGAACCTTCAGGTCATGATGACAATGATGTTAGAAAAAGGAAGAAGGTGGGGCTGGAGAACTGAGAGCAGGACATCTTGGTTTGGGCCATGGTTTGCTTGTTAGGCATCACAAGACCTGAGTCAGATCATCTTCCTCCTCTGAGCTAAACCTTCCATGGTTCCCAGCGCTCTCGGTATAGAGGCCCAGCTCCCCAGACTGACATTCTAGGCTATCTTTGGCCCACCTGCTCTCTGGTCCCAGCAGACACAATAATAGTGAGTTGGGGTTCCCTAAACACTCCCGACTCAGTCTCTTCTCAAAGCATTTGCACATGCGGGCTCCTCTTTCTCTTTCTCCCTTCGTCCTCCTGGATTTTTCCGTTCATTCTACTGGATTTCAGAAATGGAAACTCTTCGCTATACTCCTGCCCTGGATTCAGGACCCTAGGCTGGGAACGACTTCCTTCCAGGGTCCCCTGACTCAAAAGCAGAGCGATGGGGAAGAAGAAAAGTCCTAAAACCACGCCATCTTTTCCGTCTCGGCGCCAGAACCCGAGGATGGAGGCCGCGGCCGGGGCCCGAACCCCATCCACTCCCCATCCACTCACCTGCGCGGGGTCCGTCCGCGCCGCCGCCGCCATCGGAGACTGCACACGCAGGGGGTCCTGGGGGGCGGGTGACCGAGGTGGGTCTCGCGGGCACAGCCTCCTGAGGCTCGCACTGGCAGCCTCCGTCTCCCCCGGGGTAGATGCGCACCAGGCCCGGGGGCTGC